TGGAAGGTAAATTAAATTCAATGAAGAATAGTAAAAAAAATGTTAGGTTGAAACTAACGAATAGAAAACAAAAAAATAAAGGTAAAAAAAAAAAATTTATCAAATAAAAAAAGGATTTTCAAATTTTCAAAAAATCCTAATATGTCAGGATGTTCATTAAGTTCTCCGTATTCAGACTCACTTGATTGACGGCTTGATAAACACACGGCAATCCGGCATCCTGATTTTCCGTTTTTACATAAAAAAAATATTAACAAATTATAAGAAAAATATTAAAAAAGACTTACAAAAATAGCATGGGAGGGTCATGCTCTTTATTCTTTAGATTCTTGATCCCATATTCTTTAGATTCTTGATCCCATAACCATAATAGAAAATGCTATACTAAACTCACAGCGAGAACACGATCACCTAATCTCACCACCAAATCTTCTTTCTACGTTGTGATCAACAAAGTGAGAAATCCCAGTAACCTTAGCATGTCTCCATCCAAAATAAAAAAATGGCAATAAGTGCTTTTAAAATGCTCCAAAGCACAAATGAAATGGTCTTTGTATTTTCTCAAAAAGAAATGATCTCTGTATTCATCTCCATTACTAAGAACCCAAGTTGATATGCGTCCATTCTCAGGCAGAAGGTCTAGAAGGTCTAGGCGGGTTAGCAACAAGGAATGCTGTTGCTACTGCAGCTGCTTCTTCTTCATCTTCATCTTAGTCGGCGTCGCTATCTACATTTCGCAGAGCTTCAGAACTGACAACCCCAAATGCTCCGTCGACTACTTCTACGTGCCGGCGCTCAACAGAACCCTGAACTCCACCACCAATTCCACGTTGTACTTCAATCTGAAGCTGGCAAACCCCAACGGCGGCATCGGTATTAACTACAACGACGTGAAGGTCAACGTCACCGTGTTCGACGCCGTGGGAAACGGGTCCCAGTCGTCCCACCTCCTGGGGGACACTACGATCCAGCGCTTTTACCAGGGGTATGCAAAGACGGCTGAGAAACCGGGTCATGTGGACTATAACATGACGGTGGTTTCCCAGGGGGTTTTCCCTAACGCGACGGCGGTTTTCCGGATAGATTTGGTGACGGCCGTAAGGTTCAAGAACGTGTTTTTGAGTAAGAGGCGTGAGATCAGGGTAGGGGCAAGAGTAGTAGTCGACGAGAATGGTTCTATGGTTCTTCCAAAGAAGGAGAAGGACATCGCACTCGTTTCCATGGCTCCAAAGCAGGGATGCTGCAGCATGGTTCTGCTGATTCTGGGGAATTTTCTGGTCTTGACTAATTTGGTTACTTTTTTGTGAGTTTTTCTTGCTTTTAGCTTTGTTAAGGCTTTTGATTTTTATCTTCTCTTTCTCAGAAAGAAAGAAAATGTTGTTATGTATGAGGAATTTGCTTGTGGAAATTTGATTCTTATTCCCATAAAAAGATAAATTAATTACGTACATCTTATTTTTGTGTATATATATATAGGGTTAGTGCCTGTCTGCCTTACCTTTAAAAAATTAGAAAGAAAAAGAACAAAAATCACCTTGTATGCTTTAAAAATAGGGTAGTTTAGTTTTTTTTAATAAAAAATTATTAAAACGACGTAATTTTAAAATAATTTTTTTCTTAATTTTTAGGAGGTAAGGTTGATAGGAACTTTTTCTGTATATATATATACTCACATATAATTATTTTAAAATTTAATACGGTTTATATGCTTAATACGCTAAATTTAGTATACATACTCAAAAAAAAAAAAAAAACTTATAAATTTTGAAATAAAATCTAAAAACTTATTTCCGTGGTAGTAGTTAGTCAGCCTTCTTCAGCATCTAGCCATATCTGCCTAAATTGGTGTTTTATGAGTTCGATATTTTAAGTTTAAATAAATTTTTTATAATCAAATTAGATATGATAGCTTGGGTTATTGAAAAATGATTTTGAAATAATTTTTTATATTATTTTTTGATATAATTTAGT